ATGTTCACAAAGTATTTATTTATATTGTTTGATCTCTAAAACATCAGTCGATTAATTCCAATTATGTATACTTATAGTCGTATAGGTTCCGGCATAGAATAGGCCACCCCTTCCTTTTCTGTGGGTGTCGTAAGAGGCGACTGAGGCAGGGCGAGGGATAGACAGCAGCGTCCCTCTTAAAACATCTTCAAAGACTAACTTGGATTGCCAATTGCCAAGCATATCAACTATTCGCAAAATCCCCTTTATGGGGAAGGCTATGTTCAGCAGTGGACAGTTAACGGTTGATATGATGATGATGATGATGGTGATGTATGTACTAGAGGGAAACTTTGTACAAAAGTAGATTGCTTTGGTACCTCTGTACCATTCGTGTTTCTACCGTGAAGCAGTTGTGTTTGCATCGCTGTGTTACGGTTTGAAGGGTGGGATATGGCGTGAATTTACAGGGTACAGAGGAATAACACCTGAGTCCTCTGGAATGGCAACGCATGGGGGGTATCATGGGCGAAACAGTATACTCTGTTATGTCCATGTTACTGCTCATGTCTATAGGCGACGGTTACCACTTTCCATTAGGTGGGCGGTCAGCTTGTTTGCCATTCTAAGTTGTATAAAAAAAATTATACTTATATACGTATACTTATATTACCTTACTCAAATCACTATTATATTATATAAATTTTACGAGAACTGTACGTGAAGTAGTTAAAATATTGATTAACTTGAAAGCGTATTTAGTTTAAATGGACCATTTATATATAAACAAATATTTTACAATCGTGATTGATTTTACTAAGCTTATTCAGAGGCTATAAAGTAACGGCCTTGCGTCAACAAGACGTGAAATAATCGAGCTAATAAAATAATAATCATTCACAAACTAGCTGTGTTGAATGCTTTAAAGTGTTAGCAAGGACTAGCATATAATTACTGTAAGGCCCCCCTTACACGATACTTAAGGTAAGTAAAATCTAAAATAATTCTATTAATTTCCCAAAAGTCTAACTGCGGTTGTCAACCCGCCTGACAAGCGTGGCAACTACTAGTAAAACTCTGTGCTTATGGGTGAGGCCTAGGTTCAGCAGTGGACAGTTTACTCTGTGTTATAAGGGAATAAGGAACAAACTTCTAGAGGCACAATCTAGAATACTCAGTCAAGAAAATACAGAGCTTGTCCAACCGGAAATCGAGCCCATGACCTCATTTACACAAAGCTACGAGCCCATCACTGTGCTGCGGAGATTGCCAAGGTAATAATATGGTAACTTCTTTTTATATAGTGATATTTGATATTAGTAGAATTTCTTTCTTTTTACGTGTCATTTTATTTTATAACAATTATTAATAGATCATCATATGTCATATCAGTCATTAACTGTCCATTGTTGAACCTAGGCCTCCCCCGTTAGGGAAGTTTGCCAGTAGTTGCCACGTTTGACAGGTTGGCAACCGCAGTTAGATTTTGATGATATTTTTAGAGGAACGCTGCTGTCCATTCCTCGACGGTTAAGTTCCCTTAGTCGCCTTTTACAACATCCACGAGAAAGAAAGGAGTGGCCAATTCTATACCGGGATCACACGGTGAATTTTCTATCGTGTAATCCGTGCCTTATTTTATAATCAATATTGGTTATTAACGTCTACCTACGCGGTGGTAAAACTCGAAGGATAAAACAGAATTGAGTATTTATAATGAATTGCAGTTGGTACTTTGTTAATTACCTTAATTAAATCATAAATACAGTTCTTGGTAATCGTATTATTTTTATAGTGGTTAATCAAAGTAGGAAATTGTATTTGGTTAGGTAATAGTGTTATAAATTCTTTATATGTACATACTAGTTTAATACGCGACTTCGTCCAACAACTGGGATATGTTCACTGAACGGAATAATGCCTAGCCTATGTCCTTCTTCATCCCACAAGTGTGTACCAAATTTTATAGTGATAGAAGCTACTAAGGCGTTAAGAGGTAACAAACACACTTTGACATTTATAATATTAGTAAAAATAATAAGGGATATCTTCATAAATTCTATAGACATAAATATTTATCTTCAGTAAGAATCTTCAGGAATGGCAACGCATGAAGTGTACAGCAATAATATGTATTGTTGTGTCCATGATGGTGTTGGTGTATCTAGAGACATGTAACTACGACACTATAGATATGTTGCGATGGTTATTACTAGTTTCCATCAGGTTGGCTGTCGATATTGTTCAACGTTTCTAGTTGTTGGTAAAGGTTAAAGAGATAAAATAGTCACGAAAAGAAATCCACCCCATTTTAGTCGTACTTTGGATAAAGAAAAATGTATATTTTAATTATGAATTATAAACAATTATTCTGCAAAGTTTCAAACAAATTGAACGACGTATATAAAAATTATCATATAAAAATTACACCTCCCTTACTCCACCCCCTATAAGTATCTCGCAAAAAAAAATATGTAAAATATGTAAAGTAGCCGTATCCAGAGTCTATACCAAAAGGCATTATAATCGATTTAACGGTTTAGGTGTGAAAGCGTAAAAAACAAACAAACTCATTTCTACATTTATAATACTAGTCAGGATTACCAGGACAAGGTTTCTGTAAAAAGAAAAGTGAAAAATAGTATGGAAAAGTAACTGGATTAAAACATTACAGATTTGGTCTCATTTTCCTCATTAGTACATCCGTGTAAATCCTGAGTCTGTAGCTAGTTTGTAATAAATCTCCATCTGATTTTTTCTTCCATACAGTTAAAGTATTTATACCTATTTGTATCCGTCAGTCATGAAAAAATATTTCAATTAATATACGAGTAAATTTTTCATACATATCATCAAATTATGCCATGTAATTATGAATTTTCCATTTTGTAGGTATCTGAAATAAATTAAGGTAATGTAGGTCTTATATTATATCTTAATAAGTTCCCAATTATGAAATTCAAAATATGTTTGCTTCTTTACAAATTGAAGTTGCTTGTGATTATTTATCTATATTTATCTAGAATATGCTTTCATTATATATTCTGAGAAAAGTGTCTATATTGATATTTTCCACTGACTTCAAAAAGAAAAATGTTTTCAATTCGGTTGCATTTTTTCATGTTTATTACTTCATAACTCTGTTAGTTGCAAATCAATTTGGAAAATACTTTTTTATATTAAATGATATACTTACAGATTGGCCCCACAGAAATTTATTAAAGTATTCCTAATAGTTAAGTTTTTACTGCAATATAATTGATATTGTCACAATTACTGTCATTTTTTTTGCAGAAAGCAATCTTAATCGTAAATAAGCTCATAGTATAATGTTTATAAATACTATGAACATAGTATAATATTATAATAAAATAATTAATATTTTATAGTATAATATTTATTTAATATCCTATAATAAAATTAATAAAAAGAGGTTCTAAATTTGTTTATATTTTTTTTTTGTTTGTTATCCCATAATTCCATCAGTTATAAATCGATTTGGAAATTCTTTTTTGTATACGTAAACGAATATGTTCATTATCAAAAGTAATTTAAAATGTAAAATAAGTATCCCATATAGTATATTTATATCAAATTTCACAGTAATTGGTTAAGCCGTTAAGGTATTATTATATAATATTATATTATATTATTATAAGGTAACAAACAAACACTATCACATTTGCAATATTAGTAATAACTATGGTGTAGTTTTATAGATATAGCTATATTATATAGATATCTTGGTAAATTCGATTTATTAATAAAGTTATTAAGGCACAGCAATCGGCTTAAACCAACTAGTTTTAAGAACAAAGACCGCATAGATACAATCTCGACATATCTAATATTGAAAGAGATTGCAATATCTTAGATGAAAGGGAAATAAGAAAATAATACAAAGAAATACATTTTCTTTGTAATATTTTCTTATTTATTAACTCGATAGTGTACAGGCAAAAATATGAATATATGTATAAATGTGAACACGAAATTCGTAGTATAAAATAACATTATAAATTTCAGCTACTAAGAAATATTTTATTAGTCTAATAAAATATTTATAGTGTGTGTGACTGGTATACGTATAAATCCTAAGAAATCAGTATATTAAATAAAAAAAAATATCAACCGACTTCAAAAAAGAAGTTCTTTTTATTAAAGGATTTTACCTCATAATTCCGTCAGTTCTAAACCGATTTTGACAATCCTTTTTTTTATGTGAAAGGATATAGGTACTTACTGATCGTATAGAAATTTAATCAAAATCGATTTTGTCGTTCAGTTTTTTAAGTAAAATAATTGGGTTTTGTCACAATCGAAGTGTGTTTTTCTTTGTGGAATACAACTTAATTGTTTTTAGATTTTTATTTTATATAATTTTTTCTATTTTATAAAAATATGAGATATTATTGTGGTCAATCGACGGAACAAAAATATTTATGAATTCTACATTCCTTATCACCAAATAGCCATAAGAGTTGATAAAGAATACACTAGTGCATTTAAAACGGAAAAAAAATACCATATCACCTGGCCAGCGTAAGAGTTTATATCTTCTTCTTCGGATTAGATCTATGGATAATGGCGGCTAATTTCCAATAAAAAAAAAAATACCGTCCTATATTAATCCCAGATTTATTTTCAATTACTTAGATACTATTTGCTAATATTTTTGATCATTTACAACTTATATAAACTCGTAAAGAACTAGTGAACTATCTAGCTGACCTAGCGCCTCACAGAACAGCTCAGTCAAATAACGCTACTTTGTAGCATATTTCTAAAGTAACTAAAGAACTTAGAAACTTGGATACATATAGCTATGATTTAACTTTTTTTTACGAAACCTCAAAAAGTTTTTATGAAACCACACTTGAAAAACAAGCATACGGCTCACTTGAATGAAAGTGGTAACCGTCGTCTATAGATATGAACGGATGGATATCAGAGGACAGATGCTGCAACCACGGTATCACGCCTAGTCGTTTTTAGAACTATGATGTTATGAGTACGATGTATTAAACATCATGTGGTGCTATGCAGTCAAAAAGTAACAAACAAACATACTGATTATGGTAGAAGAATAGGTCTTAATAATTAAATTGAATCTAGGAAATTGCATGTTAATTTTTAGAATTTATTCATCCTTAATAAGATCAATATATTCTATAAATTTGCTGTATGGGCCCAGCGTAGAATGAGCCAGCCCTTCCATTTCTGTGGGTATGAGGTGACTAAGAAAATGTATTAGTCGAGGGACGGGTAGCAATGTCCTTCTTAAAATATGACCCAAGTCTAACTACAATTGCCAATCTGCCTGCTAGGTTTGGCAACTACTAGCAAAACCCGCCAAGGGGGAAGCCTATATTCAACAGTGGACAGACGACAGATATGATGATTCTAGATATATATATATTTTTAAGAATTTTGTATATATTATGTATGTACACTTTATGTACGTTTCGACATGACACAAAGACTACTGCACCAAATCGAAAGAGGTCTATTTCTTTAGAAAAGCAAAAACTACTTTTAAAATTTACACGTACAAAAATAATCATATTCTCTATACTCGAAGTGATACATACGATTCTATGTAAATTACAAGGCTCTTGTGCAAGAGTTAAACAGGTTTTATGAGCCGTAACAAAGGTAACGATGAAGACAGACAAATTGCAATGGCGTTTACACGCATCGTGGGGTTCATAAGAACTCCAAAATCACGTCGTTGGAACTTGATAGCTGATGTTCATTTTGCTGGGATGAGTTCGGAGGCTTTATTGCTAAAAATAAAGTGATGATCTTGTCTTAGATGTGATCTCTGCCTTTAAATATATATAAAAAAATGTGAGTAAATTTAAAGTTTGTTGTTTTTTTTTCTTTTACTGAAGGGTTAATTAACCCTTCAGCAGGATTTTCTATTAACAAACAAAATCAATTCGAATGCTCACGATAAGGTTCTGACTGGTGGCGGCGGGATGGATCGGATCATTGAGTTCCTTAAAATTATTGAGCGCAATAATGATTGTGATGTGATAATGTCTTACTGTTATACTCGTGAACGAGTGCTGCCTGTGTGAAGACTGGTCTGCTCATGTTTGCTTGTTTATTTTCCATTTAATAATACATATAAATAGAACTCAATGCTAATTTTAGTCAAAGTGTCCATACAAATGTAAAATTATCTCTTATATAATAAATTGAAACTGTTGAGTTTCTTGCGGGTTCTTCTCAGCAGATAACAATCCCAGATCAGATACTGATCCAGTAATACAATCATAAAAAATTTACACTCTAAAGAAGCTTGTAACCATGTCTATTTGAATAAATATTATTTCTCTTCTATTCTATTCTTTTCTATTTAATTATAGTAGTAGAAGTACTCATTATAATGTTTAATTTTAATATGCTCTGCAAGATGAAGGCATATCGAATTTTACGTTCACCACAGTGGTAACAGTTGACAAATGCCTCTGACTACCTCCTCAGGGATTGTAGTAGCGAGCATACCTTTTTATTTATTATTTTATTTTTAGTACACTGAATTTATGGACCTAACCATTGAGGATGATTATTTCTTCAGGGACCTCTCTGAAATATAAGCCGAAGATCTACAGCGGCATATCACATTTACACAATGAGCGATGAAGCTCGTACGGTCTCAGGAGAAAACTATGGCCGTCGTGAGTCTCGCAATTTAATCAAGAAGGGATAGAGGTAGGAAGAAAGAAATAAATTAACTTGCCACTATAAAACAGAATAATTATAAGTAAACATTTAAAATTTAAAACGATAATATTAAACTTAACATTTTTAATTTTAATTACACCTATTCTTATTTTAAAATAAACTATTTTGTCCACTACTTCATATGAATGGATTTTAGAAATAGTAAATGTATTGAATTATAACCACTTCTAGATGGAGTTTTTAAGATAGATCTTCAAAAATACAATAATGAAAAACCTGCTTTCAATTTGGTGCAATAATATTGCGTGATACTGGAACGAATACACAGATCGACGAATAAAATTTGTAAAAAAATATTTTTCTAGCTTCTATTGCTGTTATTAAGACATATAACCTCATATTTTTCTTATGAATTGCTCTTAAATTTCTTTCCATGTCCAGACATTGTCTTTTTATATATGTATATATACATACATATATATATATATATATATATATATATATATATATATATATATATATATATATATATATATATATATATTTTATATTATTAAGATAAGATTAGTAAAATAAGTCATATCGTCTTGATGTGATAGTCTTTTCCTGCGACTTTACTCGCTTAAATGAAATATATTGATCAACCGGGATAAATAATCGCCTATGTACCTCTGCATCACAAATACTATTTATAAACCAAATTTTATTAATTGATTGGTTGAGCAGTCGAGGCAACGAACGTACCTATACTCACTTTTTATATTTCTAATATAAGCTGACCCGGAAAATTTTGTTTTATTCCCTATAGGGCATTTACTGGGATAAAAACTATCCTATTACTCGAGTGGGAGCAAATACAAAATTTCATTAAATTCGACTGAGCGGTTTAGGAGATTATCGTGAACGAATATCGTGACACGGGATTTTTATGTATTAAGATCAAGATATGAGTAAGAATATATTATGAGTATGTCACCATTGAAACAAACTGTAGATTTATCTCAATGTCGTCAAATTAACGATCTTTCATTGCAGTGGAATAAATTTACAATACGTTTAGGCACGAATTCGTTGTATCTAACATTGAACTTGCTCTAATATTTAAATAGGTCAAACGCCTCGCTTGTCTGATCTTGAGACTTTCATGGAGTCGTTATCAGTTTCTCATTTCTTTTTTATATTATATTAAAGCTACTTTTTTCTCTTTCAAACAATATGCCCCGGTCACGCGGTGTGGGATAAAAACAAGCTGTATATATTAAATTCACAACGTCTGAAGTGTATAACTAAAACAACTACGTTTACTATATTAAATGAAGATGTACAACAGGCGAGTTTAACTTGGTTTAACTTATATATGTGTACACAAAAGTTTTCGAAAATTACCAAAAAGGATATACGGTCCTATATAGGCATATAGTCACTGCAGGGAGTCGGTGGATACAGGTGGCTCAGGACCGTTCTTTATGACAGTCTATGGGGAAAGCTTATGCCCAGCAGTGGAAGAATAATGGCTGAAATATTGATGATGATGATAGGCCTATAGGCCTAGGCCTAATTTATTTACGACAAATATTTTGTTGATGCATAGAATAGAAAATATTTATTGCCAGAAAAACAATTAGTTATAACAAAAAATACAACTATATATAAGAAGTGTCTCATATTAGGTAAAAGGAACTAGCTCAGCTGATGCTGTAAGTATCGCATTGCACAGTGTACAGCTGTACAACGCTGGTTTTCAGCCAGTGCCTCTCCTAACAAAATATAACAAAAATACAAACGACTACACATATGATTGAAATATTTGAATTGGAACACAAACGTTTGTCTAAAAACGGATTTTGTCTTGAAATAATATTTTCTTTTACCTCAAAGAAGCACCGCACCGTATGGGGCCGGTCGAAAGTAATTGCAAAATTATCAAAAAATAATTTAGCATTGGCAACGTAGTCGTGGAACATTGCCAATAAAAAAAAAATGTGAAACGCACTAAACTTTTTTCAACTCGAAATCAGAAATAATCTGAATGAGAACCAAATGATATAGCTACATTAATTAGATCGTCAAGATATGTTTACTTTGCGTCAGATTTCTTGATGTATTCGGCGCCATTACAAAAAAAGGGCACAGTCGATAAATAACACTGTCTATGCCAAGTAATACTCGTATACTTGCTAATAAACTATGATTTATGAAAAAACGTGTTTTAATATTGGCAGACTTATGCACTTATATGGTAGTTGGAATCTATGAATGGAAGTTGCAATTTTATTCTATGTGCTTTAATCAACTTACCGTTTAATCGTGCCGCTTTGGTCCTTAATGGGAATGATTTATTTCAAGAATTTTTAAATGAAAACAGAATAACTTGATTTTTCCAAGAGACAACAGCATCATGAAAAGGGGTTCACTAAAATAGGAATAAAGAGGTTTCTTCAGTGTCAGTAACGCGCGCGTAATGCCCCTGGTATTGCATGCGTTCATAGACTGTGGTAACCGCTTATCATCAGGTGGATCGTATGCTTATTTGTCACCCTAGTGGTATATAAAAAAAAACAGTGTACACGCGTATATGTTAAGTTAAATGCTAGCAGGACACTAGTAAATGATGAAATGATGAAAATGAGTTTTTTTTTTGTATTGGTGATAGTGAAATGGTAATTTCGCCTGTGTTATCAGTATACGTTGGTGGGGTATCAGAGATAATAAATAAGGATGACAGCAAGTCATTTAGTTCATAATGACAAATTTCAAAAGATAACCAGGTGGAACCGCGTGAAAGTCGACCTGTCAGGGTACACTCCCAGCAAATGGGCTGTTAAAATCCACTATTACTAATGAGTTCCCTGAGACAGGTCACTTAGTTTATCGTGGTGAATTCTTTAAAATTTAACCACGATGGCCTTCAGGGTAACCACGTAAACCTGATAGGGGGTAACATTCTGAAGTTACGTTAAATGTGAAGTAATTTCTGTCCTATTTCAGTACGATTATACAATATATATATATATACTAAATTTAATATATACAGTCTGTTAAAATTTTTAAATACGCACATAGCTACAAATATGATCCGCAGCATTACCCGTAAGTATTTTTGCAGATACTATGTTAATTAATTTGATCTGTGCTGTGTGATGTTCTGCCACTTAAGCACGATCAACTAGCAAACGTCCAAACAACCGAAACATTATAAACTTTCATACCTATTTGTAACTTTATTATAATTTACACAATGGTAACAATAAAGAGCTTATACAGCTTCACCTGTCTAGGTGTGTGTAATCAAAACAAAGTGAAATTCGACCCACTTACCGGTTTACGAATGAACAGAAATTTTGCATACGTAAGTCGGATAAGTGTGAAATAGTCATTGAGCTAGTCTGATAATGGAGCCGGAAGGTGGCCATAGAAATGTAATGAAACAATGCTTATTCGTATAGTTTGTGTGAATAATATATCCCACTTTATATGTGTTGTTTTCGACTACATTGTACTAGCTAGTACCTTTTATACCGAATAGCAGATTGTGACACTTCTGGTAGTAGTAGTAGTAGTCAATCTTTAATAGTTGGCAGTCACACACATACTGCACACTTAGTGCCAACTCTATAATAAATAAATAAAATAATTCGTTACAAATGTATGTGTGTAACTGCCAACTCTATAATAATAAATAAATAAATAAAATATTTCGAATGAAATAAATAGTGATATGAACTTCCCCAAGATAACACCTACTTCAGTAAAATATGCGATGTATATATGTGATGCTGTGAAGCAGCTGCGCTTTGCATAGCTATCTTGAGAAATTACAGCATATGGTTTTGTACGGAATCGTAACATTTCACAGGAATAGCAATCCATAAGGAAACCATGGACATCATAGTTTTATGAAGTTTATACTTCAGTTCTTGTCTATAGTTAACGGTTAACACTTTTCATCAAATGGGTTGTCAGCTTAATTGCCAAGTTCTAAATTTTTAGAGCAAGGCAATAAAGCCGTTTTAAGCACTAAAGATCTGGAAATACATTCTTACATTTAACAAAGTGCGGGGGAAAGGGATTGTTAGTAATGGAGTCTAACAGCCCCATTGCTTGCTAGCAATAGACCTGATAGGGTATATTTTTTTATACGCTATCAGGTCGACCTCCACGCAGTTCCCTCTGGAAACCATTATGGTGAATTCATGTGGAATTCATTACGATGGGCTAATTAACCTACTTTAATTCTCATCTATCATCTCTTACTGGTGCCCCGCCAGCGTATACCGATAGCATAGGCGAGATTACCATTTCATTCTTACATCAGGGGTACTAGCTTCTAAAAAAATCTCACAAGAGCTCATGCTGTTTTAATAATTAAGTGTATCATCATTTTTTCAGCTGAATGACGTACACTGATTGCTGGATAAGTAAGCGCGATCTAAGTAACAAATAATGAGATAAGGATTATTATAGTTATGCTATGATGTTTGTCGTCACGGAGTAGGCGCCCTTGCCTCGCATATTAAAAAAAAAAAACTTAAAAAGGTATCTAGTATAATTTAAGTCCAAAAAATGACCTGTCAGTTTCAATAACTTTTTGAAAAAAGGTAATGTTTGGTTTCATATCATTATGTAAAAAAATAGGTGTAACCTTTCTCACAAGGTATATACAGTATAATGATGGCATGTCTCATCGTCACAGGTTCGATACTATCATATTATATGCAGCGACCTTTAAACAGCTTCAGTGGCGGGATCGGGAGCCGTATATCATTTTTTTGCGTGATGCTAATAGCGGGGGCCATTAATGTTTTATCACTTCCAGTGCAATGGAGTTGCCCGCCGCGAGCGTTTAGTGTGAACGATTAAACTTTTATTCGCCGTGTTACAGAAAAATAATTACATTGAACTAACTCGTTTCTGTGACTTCGACTGCATCGACTTTTATTGGAAATAAAATAAAAAATTGGAAATTAAATATTATAAATATGTAATGTTTTTGAGTACTCAATCAGAGAATATAGTCGTAGGCATAT